GCCCGGCGGCCTGGGCGCCGCGCCCTGGGTCGCGCTGGTGGCCCGAGGCGTCTGCACCTTCAAGGACAAGGTGCTGGCGGCGGCGCGGAGGAACGCCTCGGCGGTGGTGGTCTACAACCTGGAGCACTACGGGAATGCCACCGAGCCCATGTCGCACGCGGGTGAGCAGGCCGGACGCGGGGCCGCGCTCCGGGGCAGGGGCGAGCCTGCTGGTTTCCCGGGTGGCGTGGAGAGGGAAGTGCGTGCCCCCACTGGCTCCGAGCTTTCCCCTCGGGGTGGGGTGGGGAGGTGTGTGAGAAGGCCGGGAAGCGACCTCAGCAGAGGACTAGCAAAGGACCTCCGTCGGAGGAAGGTCCTCCCGATTGCAAGAGGTCTCCAGATCCCTGATCGCCGGGGTCGCCTAAGGTCGCTTCACCGTCTCGCAAAGTTGGCTGAGTGGTGCCTGTGTGGGAGCGGAGGGAGATCCTTCTTCCGGCGCACTCCAGGGTCGCATCGACTCTTCACCAGCCTAAAGCGATGGCTTGCTGGCTCTCTGGTTTCTTCACTTTGACGAGGCGTCTCTGAATCTATCAGAACCCCGACTCGGGAAACCTGGGCTTGCTGGGCGCTCCCGACACATGGAGGGCGATCACACGCGCCCATTGTCTTTGGACAGTAATGCGTTCAGATGAAATCGGTTCACCGTATTCATTGTCGGGAGGCCGGTCCTTAAGCGCACTGTTCCAGGGACAGCAGGTTGCACCTCAGGCAAGGATGAGTTAGCAAAATACCATCCTTGGGACAGAGTTCTCTCCAGGGACTCAGAATTTGATCGGATTTCTGGTGCACCTTCTAAAAATCACACTAGTTTTAAGACCTCACACAGTTGACTCATTCCGAATTTCCTGTGATTACCATTTTTGTTTCTGCTGCTACTAAGTCAGACATCCTTTTCCTGTACTGTGTGTTGTTGTTGTTATTGTTGTTCTGGTTTGGCTTGAACGCAACACAGAATTTATAAAGTAAAAAGTGACATGGATTTGACCGTTTTTATAGACGGTTGGGAACGATGGCTTTTTGATGGCCAGGGAGTGACCTCCACTTGCGGATCAACTCTTTTTCAGGAAGGTTGACTCCAGGTTAGCAGAGAAACGGGTTCAAACTGTTGGAGCATAGTAAGGTGGAATAGGAGCAGGTAGGGAGACTTTGAAAATGCATGAAAGTAATCTGCTAGAATGGAGAAATGCCTGAAGAAGTTGGGTTTTTGAGAACAAGGTGTGGTTGGCTGCCGACAGAGGTAGGTAAGAATGAGTACAGATGTCCCCACACATGTCCCCGTGGTGGTGTTGGGTCAGGCAGTTTTTGGTGCAGTTAATCCAGTGATTACAAATTGGCCTAAATGTCATTGTCCACACACCCTATTTCCACAAGACTCCTAACATTATAGATGTACCCTGTCTACAGCGGTCCCAAATTAGTTCTGTCAATGAAAAGAGGCCGGGGTGCTGAGCCTGATTCCTTGATACCGGTGTGTGCACTTCTAGGTGCATACGCATCTTCATGCAGACTTTTTCTTTTTAAATGACAGGCTCATCACCCTACAATTTTCTAACTCTACCCTGCTGCATTTTTTGATAATGACATTAACATCCTCCCAAGCAGACAACACTTTTTCTAACCATGGCTCAGCAACCTTTCTTGTTTATATTGTTGACATATAATTTATCTGGTCCCAGAAAACACCTCAGTGATGCTAATTAGAGTCTTCGGTGGAGGGAGACTTCTGTTCCCATTATTTGCCTCCTTTCTAGCCTTCTGAGTATGATAATTCTGACCTTTTAAAGGGAAAGTTAGCACCTTTAAAAAAATGTGTGACAATACACACATCAAAAAATGTGATGCGGTAAGTGACTGAATCTTTCTGAGGGCCCTTTAAGGTAGATCCCTAACTCCATTCTTCGAGTAAGGAAACATACTCAAAAGCCTTTTAAAAGTTAGCCCAGATTACTTGGTTGGCCTATAGAATCTTTAGCAGCATTCCTATCTTCCCACATCCTAAATGCTTTCCGCACAATTGTGACAACCAGAAATGCCTTGAGATTTTTGCCATAACTTCAGGGGACAACAAAATTATCTAGCATTTTGAACCACTGATCTGGAGGAATATAATATTAATTTGGTAGCTGTGTGATTGATAACAGAAAAAGCTGGAAACATTTTAAACTCTGGGTCTGTAGGGACTGCAAAAGTGGAAAGGTTGTGACTCTCGTGAAACTTAGCCCATTTGGGTACCTGGGAATGACAATGGCATCACTTTGGCTGGGCAGTGGTGGCGCACACTTTTAATCTCATCACTCTGGAGAGGCAGAGGCAAGCAGGTCTCTGTGAGGTCGAGGCTAGCATGATCTATAGTGTGAGTTAGAGGACATCTGGGTCTACACAAAGCAACCCTTTCTCAAAAAACAGAAGATGGGAGAAGCCAGCTTTGACAGACTATTTAAATTTGAGCTGAATATATAGAGCCACTGAGGCTAATGTTTAGACTTAGGTTGGTTTCCTCTGTGTAGTCAGAATGTAGCTGAAGCTAGGAAAATCCACTGATTCAGCTGTTCTTAGTGCTGATGTCTAACTGGATTTCTATGAAACAGGTAGGCGTGTGCTTCTGAAACTGCATACTGATAATCTTCCTAAATTGTGGGGAGAATTTCTTCCCAGTTCTTAAATCCATTTTTTCTTTCACTGGAATCTAGCTCTAGATAACTTTTAAAATTTAAGTCATTGCTAAAACTGAGGATTGTCTCTAAGTTGTGATGATGCTATCTCAGAAACATCAGTAAGGACTTGGAGTTATGCTAATGTTCTCTCTCTCTCTCTCTCTCCTTTTTCTTTCTTAAACAGTCTTAAGTAGGACCAAATATTGTACTTACTTAGAGTTGGAAATACCTAAGATGAATGCCTGCCTCTGAAGAGTTATGGCCTGTCAATAAACATAACTTTCCAGGCCAGAAGAGTTTAAACTTAACTGAATTATATGCACAGGTGCTTAGCCTAAAGGCTGAGTGTTGATGCTGAAAGGTGTAGAAATTATCTTGACCAAGATAGATAAAAATAGATAGAAGCCAAATCATTAAAGTCTTAGTGTTAACCTTACTGTAGTTATGGTAGGTTAATAAGTAACACACTCCTCTAGCTGAAATTTTGGCACAGCCTTTTAAGAATGGCATTTTACATCTTTGAATGTTATTTACCAAGTGCTAAACAATTGGCAAACGCCTGGAGAAAGGGCTTGAATTGCAAGGAGGATTTCAGAGATAGAGAAGAAATACCCAGCTAAGCCAGCCAGTTTGTTTACCTGAACATTTCTGCAGACATTTAGAAAAAGTTTGCCATGGTGATGCTACATTACAAAGTCTTTTAAGACTTTAAAGACAATATAAGTCTTTTAAGATCCCTGAAAATGGCCACAATATTGTAATGATGAAACATAAGGCTTTTAACTAAAAGTTCACTGTGACTAGTTCTAAGAACCGAGTTTTGGAAAAAAGAAAAAGAAATACCCAACTTTAGAGAAGCTATATATTAAGAGGTATTTTTGTATTGGCAAAGCATATTACAATGTCTTTTATGCATAGTCAGTTATTATCTGTGATAATGTGCTCTCAACTGATGTACAACTGTAATTTGAATTTAAAATATATCTTGGTGCTTAACTAACCAGAAGTTGTACCCTAATAGCCTCATAGAGGATGGGGTCAACTAGGACAGTTTCCCAGAAATACTGACTTTATGGACAGGTTCAGGACATTGGGGAGTTATGTGTAGTAGGTGGGCTAGAAGACTTCCATGTAGCAGAAGTAATGTTGCAAAAGGCTAAAAGGTTCTGAAGTGAACTAACATGGAAAGGCTGCAAAAGAGTTCTCAGGAGAAGTATTCAGTATAATTTTCAACAAATGCATTTTCAGGGGAGGTAGTGGTGGTGAAGTTTTGTTGTTTGTGTTTGAATGTTTAGTTGGGGTCTTGCTAAGTATAGCTCATGCCTTCTTTAACTCATGATCTTCTTTTCTTATCCTCCCAAGTGCTGGGGTTATGGGCATGGATCATCATACTGGCCAGATTTTTTTTATTGATTTATTTTTATGTGTATAAATGTTTTGTCTGCATATATGGAAACACACCACATGCATAGCTGGTGCCCATGAAGACTAGATGAGGGCACTGGAATTGACGTTATGGTGGCTTTTATGTCACCATGGGGGTCCTGGGAATCTTTAGGTCCTATGCTAAAGAGCACCAAGTTCTCTTAACTACTGAGCCATCTCTCCAAGTCTTCTTGCACCCCAATATTTTTGACTAAAACCAAATCATACAGAAATATTTATAATCATGTTGCCCAGTTGTGAATTGTGTCCTCCTCATTCACCCTAGCCAACCTTTTAAACATTTATATAACAAGATTTAGTGCAAACTCAACATAAGCTCTACAGCAAAGAAGACATTCCAGATTACTTCCTCTCTACTGTAATTCTTCTTCCTAGGTCATTTCGGTTGTAGTCCTGGGAGATAAGCTAGTTTTTTATATCTATTCATTCATGAAGAAACCTTCCACAGGCCATCCATGCTTCATGCCACAAACCTGATAAATTAAACAGGTAGTGCTTGTTCCATCTAATGACCTATAAAGAAATGAGAAAAGATTTATGAAAGGAGGCCTATCTGAGGCTAGAGAGATGGTGCTTTGGTTAAGAGTGAGTATTGCTTCTGCAGAAGCCCCCATTTCAGTTCCCAGAGCCCATGGAATCTGATTACTTCTTCTGGCCTCCTTGGGCACCTCACTTGTGTGTGTGTGTGTGTGTGTGTGTGCGCGCACGCGCGTGTGCATGCGCAACACACAAATAAAATTAATAACAGTGATTGCACGTAGAGCTGAGTTTGCACTAAATCTTGGTTTTGTTGAGGATTCTCTTAGGGGATAGAAATGGCCACAATATGGCAGTTTATTTATAAAAAGGAAAACCTGAAAGTTTAAGAGCTTCTGTTATTGGAACCGCAAGATCAATTATTGCTGTTAAATTAGTTTTTTTCCCACCAGAAATTCAATCTACTACTTTAAATATTTCAGTGGTTCTTATCTCCTTAAAGACAATACTGAAGTAAACTTAGTTACCTTGGGAGGAGAAATATG